GGAGAGAGACTGTGTAAAATTCCCAGCCCATATTTCAGACTCCAGAGGTTCAGATGCATTTTATTATATTCCAGAAAAACAAGCAGGCTTTTTGGGCACACCTCTCAACCAGGCTCAAACTCCACATCTTTGTGATTTGTCCATAATTTGAGCTACCAAGAATGCTACCTAATCCACAGTTTGCAGCTATTTTTAACAGACTCAACTGCATTGTTGAAAACTACCCATATTTTGGCAGATAAGTCAGTCAACTCTGGAAACAGTGCTGGTCTCTTAGATTTCTTTTTGGAAAGTGTCTAAGATTTATGGTGGGAATTACACATGACAGCTGCATTCTTTCCACTGGGTTTAGACCACCATTTGGTCTAATAACTCCTAATTGTGTGTCTATCCTAGTCTAAGCTTCTTCAGGAAAAAAAAAAAAAAGAGGTGGGGGAAGACTTTTGAAAATCCCCTACAGCAGTACCCAGTGATTTCTGTCAACAGTAAACACTATTTTGAAACTTAAGAAGGTCAGCTGATGAGGAACAAATAAAAGACATTTCGGTGAATGTGGATTTCTTTAGAGAATTTTTCATTAACATTACATTAATGCTGGTCTGATAAAAATAAATGTAAAATGTTTTAGTTTCATTGTGTTCCCAAAGTATTTTTAGCATAACAGGCAAAATTCCTGTCAGCATTTTCAGTCATGGTATTTTCTTAAAAGAAGTACCTCTTCAGTGATTTTTCTCCAAACTTCACCAAAGCACAACATGGATACCTTGAAGACATTGCCCATTTAAAAATCATAAGAGGTCTAATTATATTTCCAAAATAAGTAGTTTCCAATCCAGCAAGGATAATGTGGTCATGAAAAGGATGTCCAAATCCACCAATTTACATTGGTTTGGCTTGGCATGACTTTCAAAGTTCTTGGAGCAAAAACAGGATGGCACGTGAATCATTCTAATTTGGGTTCGATTCCCAGGACTTAGGGTTTGCCATTCTGTGAGCCATTCGGGGGAGAGCTAATCAGCTATAAGACTGTACCTATGTAATTTATAACTGCTAAAATTCACTGATGTGTTCCAGATTATTTTGCAAAATGTAATACCCTCCTTTTTAATATATACTTTGTCATTTTCACTCTATTTGTGTAATTTAAAAAGTATGATAGCAGGGGAGCATGAGCCATTCAAAGCAGGAGCCAGTAATGTCAGAGATTGTTATCCTTCATAAGATATATGGTGTTGATATCTCTATATCTAAAGGGCTTGGAAGTTCTGTCAAGTTAGATTCAAATTGCATCTAATGTGTTTTGCTTTACTCCTTCTTTCTGGTTTCTAACGTAAGCCACAAAGCAGTTTCTCTACTGTGACTTAGTTCTGCAACCACAGTGGTCACACTGGTCTGAGTTACCCTCCCTGTCTCCATTCCCAACCCTCCCTTCTTTTATTCCAGAAGAAAATTAAGTTATTAATTTAGGATGAGGCTGCTTTGTTTGAACAGTATAGTGCTTTCCAATTGCTCATACGTAATATAACCAACCCATACTGCTCTTTCAAATGTTTTTGATTACTGAACTTAAAAAAAAAAAACCTTGTACTGAAATTTATGAAGGATCAAAGGGATACTTCCTATGTTGTAACTTTAAATTTCTGTAAGAGAAAAAGTTTTCAGATAGTAGGGAATTTCATTAATTGAAATTCAGTTTACAACTCTAGACAACACATGCATTTCAATAACATGTAAAATAATACTAGAAAAGAAACAGTTCTAGCTTCAAAGTAAAAATGCACTTGATTTATGCCTACAAAGGATATGCTTATTAAAATGAGGCTTAAGTAAGGTCCTTATTTGTAATAAAAATTTGTTGGGATTCAAATAATTTTATTTACTGTTGACCTTTGATAAAGGTCCAAATAATTAGCAAAACAAAAATTAATTTAAAAAGAAATATATGGTAAATTTTCTCATTTTTTATTGTAATAGTTGTTGACATTTCATTTTTAATCATTACTTTAAATAGGGCTAATTTGATCAATTCTTTGCAAAAAACATATATTAAGGGCTTCCCTGGTGGCGCATTGTTTGAGAGTCTGCCTGCCGATGCAGGGGACACGGGTTCGTGCCACGGTCCGGGAGGGTCCCACGTGCCGCAGAGCGGCTGGGCCCGTGAGCCATGGCCGCTGAGCCTGCGCGTCCGGAGCCTGTGCTCCGCGGCGGGAGAGGCCACAGTAGTGAGAGGCCCGCGTACCGCCAAAAAAAAAAAAAACCAAACAAACAAAAAAACATATATTAAGATTTCTTGTTTGAGAAAAATGTAGACCTGCATACTGCATCAATGTTTCTATTTTCCAAAATATTATTTTTTCTCAAGTTCCTTCAGAGCAACTGATAACTCGTGGAACATCATGAACGCTTTCATTTGGTGAAACTTTGTTTGACTTTGTGATGGCAAGGAAGATGACCTTATTCACCATTTGTGGTTCTGAATGACCTTTGACTATTTCCAAACCAAAAACTATCACCAAAGGCCCCAACTTGCATCAATAAACATTTTTCTATAGACAATATGGAGTTACTGGAGGTCATTTTAGAGAAGAATTTCAAAATGTTTTCCCTAAGGACTACATGTTTAGAAAAAGTACAGATACCCACAAGAGGGAGAACTTTGAAAGGGACACACTTTAATGCATAAGTTTTAAAATTTTAAAAATCTATCACATTTTTAAAATTATATAGGTTAAAGCTAAGTACCAAACACTAGCTAAATGACAAAGCAAAAAAAGAAAATAGTTGATAAATTATTAAGTTTCTGAGCACATGTGCATAAACTGAAGACCAGCATGATCTAATACTGAAACTAAAAATCAAACATTAGGAAAGTTTTAATTAAGATGATTGTCACATTTAAGTTGTCGAGAGCACATTGTACTTAAAAATGAACTGGAGTGCCCTTTGATTAATGGAGCTATTTTGTGCATCAGAAAACAACAAAAAAGAATGCATTTGATTTTTATAAATGTATGTGTCTTAGACATTTTCACCACACACTAATAGGTGTCCAGCCTCATCTCAATTCCTCACAAATTCACAGATTCATAGTTCTCAGGAAGGAACAGAGACTCACTAATTTTATTATTAGACTATTCTAGAACTACAAAACTCACACAAATTAATACATTTGTTAATAGCTATTCCATTTTATTGACATTATATGTAAGTTATTACATGGAAGAGTATAGTGAGGATGAGTACGTGGGACACAGAGGGCTTTTTTTTTGGCCGTGCCGCACGGCTTTTGGTCTTAGTTCCCCAATTAGGGATCGAACCAGGGACCTGGACAGTGAGAGCGTGGAGTCCTAACCACAGTGAAAATGCTCTGTATATGCTGTGATAATGGATACAAGTCATTATACATTTGTCCAAACCAATAGAATGTACAACACCAAGACTGAACCCTAATGTAAACTATGGACTCTAGCTGTATCAATGTTGTTTTCATCAGTTTTAACAAATGTATCACTCTGATGGGGGATGTTGATAATGGGAGAGGCTGTGCATGTGCAGGGGCAAGGGGTATGTGGGAAACCTCTGTACCTTCCCTTCAATCTTTATATAAACTTAAAATTGCTCTAAAAAATAATGTCTTAAAACTGAATGAATAATGGCTTTGATTTATGCCATTAATATCAGTATTACACATTATGTCATTCTGTCCTAACCTACTGATGATATATTTTGCACAGCAGCAGAAATGTTCCTACTATAAAGTATTGATACTTAAAAACAGAGATGGTAAAGCAATAAAGGAGCGCATTTCATGTCAGTAAAGAGATTTACAAAAATTTTATTCTGTTAGATTATGACAATAATTTCTATCAATTTATCTAGTACTATCTATTGTGAATTACAATGTTTAATGATGATACTGTACCACCTCCCTAGAGAAACTGCTGAGATACTGACCTCTACATTAACTGGTAATCTCATCCAGGCCTCCTTGAGGGTCTAGACACATCAAGGAATATGCAACCCTGACATTAAAACTATGTTATCAACATTTCTTATCAACAATAATAGTGTTTGAATAAATGTTTCTCTTTTCATTTTCCTGTTTCTTCATCTTTTTGATAACTGGGTCATGGAAATAACCTGATGATATAAATAAATGTGTGGAAAACAAGTGGTTGATTATCCAAACCAACTGCCAGGATAAGTTATTTTGAATTATAGATAACTAGTTTTAAAATAATCTGGAACTAATGTCACCATCTTGTCAAAGATTTCTTTTTATTTTTTCCCTCCATAATGGAGCACCCCATTACCTACAATACACTAGAGATTTTCAAAGTAGTTATACATCCGTAGTATAATTTTCATTCTGTAGTTTCAAATAATCAGACCAATATATGTTATGCTATAGTAATTGCAGGAAAAGAGAATGAAACAATGGAAATGGATTGGAATCCCTAGGAATAGAATAAAACACAATAGAATAAGAATAGGAAAGAGGGAAGAAAGGGAGACAGAAGAGAAGTGAGAAGGGAGTAAAGGAGAGGGAGGGAAGGAAGGAAGGGAGGGAAGGAGGGAGGGAGGGAGATTTTAAGGAAAGAAGACTTCACAAGCACTTTGGGTTATTTATCTTTCCAACAAGGGGCAATAATACATATATACATGAAGGTTCTTCTCCCTACTCCACCCCAAGTTTGATTCCTGTCTTCTTTGGGGGAATGAATCTCAACTATACTGTGAAATCCCATGCTACCTACTGCTGTTTTATGGTTCAACTACACTCAAGTTTGTTGATGATTAACTGTTACTGAACTTAATGATTAGTTTGCTTGTATTAAAATATTGAAGATTGCTTGGTGTAGGACATAGAAATTTGTTTTCTCTGTGAGGAAGAGAGAGTTGGTGGTGATTTACTACCTTCCCATAATTATTATTACTATTTTCTTTTGCCATCTCAGTTTTTATATGAGTGAATATGAAACATGCCCTTTTGTTTTCAGGTCTAGATGTTGATGGAATATATCGAGTTAGTGGCAATCTAGCAACAATACAGAAGTTAAGATTTATTGTCAACCAAGGTAAGTGATTTCTTCAGTTCAGACCTTTTTACAAGTAGTTTCATCTCCAACAATATTTCACACTCTCTGCCTATGTATTATGAATATATACTGATAAAGGCTTTGAAGGGAGAAAGAGAAATTTGAAGAAATTAAACAATTATTACCAGAGAAGTAAAAAATAGCCAGTTTACTTGGAGGTAAATAGAATAAAGAGAGAGACTATTTTGTTGTGTGAAATAAATAACAAGTGAAATATGACAAACTAAAAATGAAGAAGAGAATAATAAAAGGAAAAAATAAACTAGCTTTGAAAAATGTTACTGGTATATAATACACAATATATGCTGATAAATGAATAAATAAATGAATGGTGGAAAATGTAAGAGTCAAGATCACAGATGTTAGAAAAATATATAATAGGTAAGTAAAAGAATTAAAAATTAGGAAATACAAATATCATCAAAGGATTACAAACTAAAACAACTATGAAGTACTACTACAAGCCTATTAAAATGGCTAAAATTTAAAACACTGACAACACCAAATGCTGACAAGGACGTGGAGCAACAGGAACTCTCATTCATGCTGGTAGAAATGGAAAATAGTACAGCTAGTTCGGAAAATAGCTTAGCAGTTTCTTATGAAAATAACCATATTCTTACCTTATTACCCAGCAGTTGTGCTCCTTGGTATTTACACAAATGAGTTCAAAACTTATGTCCACACAAAAAACTGCACACAGTATTTCCAGCAGCTTTATTCGTAATTGGTAAAATTTGAAAGCAACCAAGATATCCTTCAATAGGTGACTGGACAAACAAACCATAAATATCCATAAAATGGAATATTATTCAATGATAAAATGAAATGAGCTATCAAGTGATGAAAAGAATTCAAGGAAACTTAAATGCATATTGCTATGTGAAAGAAGCCAGTCTGAAAATGCTATATACTCTGTTGTCTCAACTATATGACGTTTTTGAAAAGGCAAAACTATGGAGATAGTAGAAAGATCAGTGATAGCAAAGGATTTGAGGGGAGAGGGGGAAGAATAAGCACAGGGGATTTTTAGGGCCATGAAACTATTCTGTTTGATACTGTAATAGTGGATACATGCCATTATATATGTCATTATACATTTGTCAAAATCTATATAATATACAACACTAAGAGTGAACCTTAATGTGAACTATGGACTTTAGTTAATAAAAACTTATAAATATTGGCTCATCAATTGTAACAAATGTACTACACTAATGCAAGATGTTACTAATAGGGGAAATTTGGGGGGAGTGGTCAGTCATAAGAGGGAGTATGTCGGAATTCTGTATTTTCTATTTTTCTGTAAACCTAAAACTTCTCTAAAAAAGACAGTGAATTTTTAAAATAAAAATTAGGAAATGTTGAAAGAAAAACAGACTAAAACATCTTGAGATGGTGTTACAGACAGCTCACAGGTTTAGAATTAGACACATGGAGTAAAACCCAGACACTGTCTCCTTGTGTCCTTGGCATCTTATTTAACTCCCTTATGCTCTGTTTCTTATCAGTAAAAACAGGATGGAAGTGCCTTGGAAATATTTTTGAGAATGAAATGAGATAGTGTGTAGTATTCCCTTAGTAATGTAACAGACTCATGGTAGTTGTTCAGTACATCTAAGATTCCCTTTCACTTAAAAAGTCAATGATAAAAAAAAAAAAAAGTCAATGATGTCTCATTACCTTCAGGAGAATTTACACAAAGTCTACATAATCTGGCTTCCCAGCTACTTCTAGCTGACTGCAGGTCCTTGAATTTCCTTCATGATACATTCCTAACTGTACTTCCTTATATACATACTGTTGTATTTCTTAATGCCTTTGCATAGTCTCTTCCATCTACTTTCAATATTCTCCTATATTTTCCTTCCCATCCCACATACAAAAGCTTCCTGCCTGGTTAGATTTCTCCTTATTCTTCAAGGCCCAGATTATAAATAATTTTCTCCAGGGAGCCTGCAACGTCCCTCAGTCAGATTCCTTCTCTGTGTGCCCATTACGCTGGGTAGTTAAATTTGCATTCGTACAGGCACATCTAACTTCTAAAATTCCATCTATTATAAGACCCAGAGATTTAATGCCATCTTTTAAAGAGAATTTTATCAAATGTATTCAGTGATTATATTTCACAAACATTAAAATTTGAAAGTCTTGGAATAAAAAAAGAGGATATTGGTTGAAATATGTGTCTCTTCCATAAATCTCTATACACCTAAAAAGGTAGGATTTAAATTAGCCTTATATCTTCCCTCACTCACCACCAGTAGCTCTGGAGCCTCCATACAGGGAGCTCTTAATATCTGTTGTATAGTGTGTGTGTGTGTGTGTGTGTGTGTGTGTGTGTGTTGCAAATAGTAGAAGTATTAATACAGAGAATCATTAACCTCTCCAGCAGTTCAGCTTGGGTTGAACCATACTTTTAAGTGTTAACTGCAGTGCTTTTGGCCAGTGGCCACACGATTCTTATTTCTGAACATCTCTGTAACCTAGAATCTGTTTGCTCACTAATGTGCACCGTTGTCTTTCAGAATTACTGTCCCTCCTGGGCAAAAAACAGAACTAAACATTACCTTATGTATTCATGTTGGCCATTGGCCTGAACCAAAGTACCCCACTGTGGATAAAAATTGGATAAAATACCCCAGCTTTTTATAACCATTCCTGTTTATAACCAGCTAAAATCATTCTTGTAATATATTTCATGCTGAAACCATATCCTGATTGGGATTCTAGACAGGTGGGCAACACATTTCTTCTACAAAGAAGAAATCTCAAAACAGAAGCCATGCTAGAAACAAACACTAGTTGCATTTCCTGCCTTTAAAAACAATTATGCTCAGCAGTCTGAAAAGGCAGAAAAAAAAATCTGCAGTGAGAATATGAAATCTGTCCATCTCATCTTTTGCAATCCAAACTTCAGCATCCTCTGGGGCTGTGTAACTGCTCATGTTTCCATGAGAGTTGACAATGTAAAGCTGGACAGAGGCCTGAGTTGGTATCTGGTAGCACAGAATTGTCAGTAGACTGTCTCCCTGGTTTATACCACTGTCAGAATGCAACACACTCAACACAAATTATGCTATATTAGAACCTTTGATACTAGTATGTTGTCCAAGCTGTGTTGTGGAGTTGTTTTGAATTAGATGATAAAAGATATGCGTATACCATCCTCTCTCAAATTTTGCTAATCAGATTATCCCGTGAATGAAATTTTCAGGAGAGGACCTGTAGCATTTGTTCTAACACCATACCTTCCCCTCCATCTGCATGCTGGTTGCTGACAGCAGAGCTGATATGGGAGAGAATCAGTGCTGGATACAAAGAGACTGAGTGTGTACATTGTGGTCTCCCCTCTGTGTGTGTATGTGTGTGTGTGAGTGTGTGCAATGAAGTGGCAGTGCAGTGATAATTCCTTGAAAAGCATAAAGGAATATGTGAATGCAATGCATTGTATTCAGAGATGGAACATACCTGGTTTTGGCATACCCTCTTTGTATCAACACCTTTTATCTCCTCCATGTTCACGTTCCACAATGTTTCCTTTTCAGAAGGTTCTAAACGGACAGTTTTTAAAATGAACAAGCCCTACCCACCATTGGACTAGACAAATGAAAACGATTTTGGGGATTTTCAAGAACAGTTTAATTGCCATTTATGTATTTCACTAACTTTCTTGAGTGCTATAATCATCAGCAATTCTAAATACACCAGTTGAATGATTCAGTTCGTTTTGGTTTTCTGTTTGACTCCCTAAATCAGCAGGAATTGGATACCCTTATTATACTTCCAGATCAGATGGCATGCAAATTAAATTCAAAGTGATCACTCTTCAAAAGTATTTCCTAATTATAACTAGTAATGAAGATGATAATAATTATTATTATTGTAAAAGTAGCTAACATATTTTCATAATTTATTATGTGCCAGGCACTGTACCAAGCGCTTTACTCATATCATTTAATTTAATCCTTTCTGCTATCCCATAGAATGTGTTCTATTACTGCTCCCATTTTAAAGTTGAGGAAACTGAGGCTCAGAAATGTTAAATAATGTCCTAAGGTCATAAAGTAATAAGTGAAAGAGCTAGGACTAGATCCCAGGTCTCTCTGTCTCAGAGCCTATGCTAAAAACCACTGCCTGATTTGACATTTCCTATTCACTGATTGTTGACTACCTCCTTAGAAAAGTGGAGCTCAGTCTTTTCATGCTGTACCCAGTTGTTAGTGACTTCCTTTCTGTTTTCCGTAAGTGACAAGTACTGTCATAGGAGTTTGGCTAAAACTTTTCAAGAAAGAGAAATGCCTGGGAAAACACCAAATGCCATAGTTAGGAAGAAGCCAGGCACTGCCATTCTCTGTAGGGCTTCATGTATCTATGCTTGGACCGAGAAACTACTTTAACACAATATTCTGTTGCAACCTTCAGGAAAGGCATTGAAGACTCTAGATTTACTGGGCTGTTGGTGCATTACTGAGCGCTGCTCTGCCTTGTTTGTTGTATTTGGTGACAGCTTTCAGTGACATTTTGCTGATGCTGCTCTTCCATTCTATGAGGGCATCCCCAAAGAAAACTAGTCTGTGACCTTAGATGTCAACTTGTCATCAGCCTGTGAGACTGCGTCGATTCTTTGGGATGATCTGTGACGTGATGGTTCTCATGTGTGGGGTACTTTTACAGAGGACAAACTTTAGCCCTGAGGATGCTGCATAACTGTCTTGAGAACTTTTTGACAGTGGGTTTTAGAAGCCTCACCAGTCTGAATTCCCCCTCCTGACATCAAAATTCTGCCTTGAGCTGCCCATCTAGCTTATTGTTCAAACTCCAAATTCAGTTCAGACTCTCTTTGGTATTACAAAGAGAACATCTAAATGTTCTCTTTCACCCTTTAAAACAGGGACAAGGAACACTGGCATCCTTTTTGGAAGATATTAACTGTGAAGCTTCCCAAGCCCATAAGCCAATGGGAGGACTCTGAGGCA